CAAGAACCTGGTCGAGCTGGCAGTGCGGCTCGGCGCGGAGGTCGACCAGCAAAACAGCGAAGGCGACACCGCTCTGATGCTCGCCGCTGACAACGGCCATCCCGCCGTGGTGCTCCGCTTGCTGCGGGCGGGCGCTGACATGACGCTGCGCGACGTGGACGGTGAGACAGCGCTGCAGATCGCCAAGGAGAAGGGCCACGCCGAGTGCGTGCGCGCCTTCGAGGAGCATGCGGCGGCCAAGGCGGCGGCCGAGAAGGCGGCGAAGGAGGCGGCGAGGGCTGCGGGGGCGGCGGAGAGGGCGGCGCAGAGGGCGGAGGAGGAGAAGGAGGCGGCGCGGCACGCCGACGAGCTGCTGGCGGAGGTCGAGGCGGAGAAGCGCGCCAAGGGCAAGAAGGGCAAGAAGAAGAAGAAGAAGGAGGCGCCGGCAGAGGCAGCCGCAGCCAAGCCCGCGCCGTTGGACAGGGAGGGGCTGCTCCAGCTTCTCGCGGAGCTCCACGAGGACAGGATCCGTTTCGGCATCACGGCGGAGACGTCGGTCGAGGGATTGGCGGAGGCGCTGGGAGAGGCGGCGGGCGAGGCGAGCGAGGAGGAGGGCGAGGAGGAGGGCGAGGAGGCGGCAGCGGAGGCGGCAGCGGAGGCGCGCCGGCAGGCTGAGGCGGAGGCTGCGGCTGTGGCAGCGGCAGAAGAGGAGGAGGCTGCCGCAGCGGAGGAGGAGGCGGCCGAGGCGGCAGTAGCGGCGGCCGAGGCGGCAGCGGCGGCGGCAGAGGCGGCGCTCGCCGCAGCCAAGGCGAGGCGCGCGTCAGTTGCCGCTGCGAGGGCCAGGGCGCGGGAGGCGGCCTAGCCCGCGCGCAAGGACAGCTGGCGCAGTGGCAGCCATGGGGAAGGGTCTCTCGTACTGTGGGGTGCGTTCTCTTGTGAACGATCGTGGCTGTGTGGGCTGGGCCCTGCGCCGCGCGGGCGCGCGTGCAGTCCCTCGAGGTCTCGCCGGGGAGCTGCCCACACAGCCGTACGAAGGGTGGGCGGTGGCGTGAGAAAGTGGCATAGCCAGTGCCATTGGTGCGTCTGAGAGCAGAGTGCGACTGCGAGCATCTCTCAGACACCAGAGTCCGCAGAGTGTGGGAGCTGACAGAGTGCGGTGGCTGCGGGTCACACGCGCTTCGTAGCTTTCGGCGTTCGGGCGTGCTGAGGTGCGCTCGACACGCTTACACTGTACCGTACTGCGGGGTGGGCAGCCCAGCGCAGATGCACTGGGACCTCTCTGCCCAGCGCCGGGGGTGCGTCGAACGACGAACCTTCCACATCACCCTGGGAAAACGTCCGCGGTCCGGCTCCGGGTGTTGGAAGAGTAAAGATATATATTATATTACTTTTTTACACTGTACCGTACTGCAATAATAACAGAGGGCGATAAACTCACGTCACATGACCGCTAGGCGGCGCCACTGCGCACTGACTGACACACTTCGACACGCACACTTCACGACGCGCGCGCGACAGAGCGCCGCCTCCGGCTCTCTGCGCGCGCCTCTCCTGCGGGCTCGCCTGCTAGCCCGAAGCAGCCTGGGCGTCGCCCTCGCTGAGCGCCGCCTCCAGGTCGCCGATGATGGTGCGCGCCGCCGCGGGGATGCGCGTGCCCGGCCCGAAGACGCTCTTCACTCCCGCCTCGTGCAGCAGGCCGTAGTCCTGCTGCGGGATGACGCCGCCGGCCACCACCATCGCCTCGCAGCCCTGCGCCGACAGCTCCTTGATGAGCGCCGGCAGGAGCGTGCGGTGGCCCGCCGCCTGCGACGAGACGCCGACCACGTGCACGTCTGCGTCGACCGCCTGCAGCGCAACCTCGGCGGGCGTCGCAAAGAGCGGGCCGACGTCGACGTCGAAGCCCAGGTCGGCAAAGGCGGAGGCGATGACGTTGGCGCCGCGGTCGTGCCCGTCCTGCCCCATCTTTGCCACCAGGATGCGTGGGCGACGCCCGTGCCGCGCCGCAAACTCCTCCGCCATCGCCACGGTCGCCTCGATCTCGCCGCCGTCGCTGCGGAAGTCGCCGAGATAGGCGCCCGAGCCGACGGTGTGCGAGGGCGTGTACCGCCCCCACTGCCGCTCGAGCGCGTCCGAGATCTCGCCCACCGTCGCGCGCGCCCGCGCCGCGTCGATTGCCAGCGCGAGGAGGTTGCCGTCGTACGTCGCGGCGGCGGCGGAGAGCGCCGCGAGCGCCTTTTGCAGCGTGGCCTCGTCGCGCTCGGCGCGCAGCCGCTTCAGCTTCGCCTCCTGCGCCGCGCGCACGTCGAGGTTGTCGATGACGCGCGGCTCGACGACGGGCTGCTCGCGGCCGGCCGCCGGCGCGTACTTGTTGATGCCGACGATGACGTCGTCGCCAGAGTCGATGCGCGCCTGCTTGCGGGTGGCGCAAACCTCGATCCGCTGCTTTGGCATGCCGGAGGCGACCGCCTTGGCCATGCCGCCGAGCGCCTCCACCTCCTCGATGATGGCGCGCGCCTCCTCGACGAGCCTGTCGGTGAGCGCCTTTGGCCGCGCGGGCGGCGGGGTCAGGGGGTGGGGCGGGGGTGGGGCGGGGGGTTGGGGCTGGGGCGGGGGTTGGGGGTTGGGGCTGGGGCGGGTTGGGGCAGGGGCGATGGCAGCCGGCGGAGCGTGTGACGCGGGTCGAGTCGGAGGAGGAGGCGTGGGGAGGGCCGTGTCGCCTCCATCATGTAGGAAGTGTCTAGGAAGTGTCTAGGAAGTGTCTCCTCCATCATGTAGGAAGTGTCTAGGAAGTGTCTAGGAAGTGTCTCCTCCATCATGTAGGAAGTGTCTAGGAAGTGTCTAGGAAGTGTCGCCTCCATCATGTAGGAAGTGTCTAGGAAGTGTCTAGGAAGTGTCTCCTCCATCATGTAGGAAGTGTCTAGGAAGTGTCTCCTCCATCATGTAGGAAGTGTCTAGGAAGTGTCTAGGAAGTGTCTCCTCCATCATGTAGGAGCCGCCCCAAGGGTCGACCACGTGGGGAATGCCCGTCTCCTCGGCGAGGATGAGCTGCGTGTTGCGCGCGAGCGAGGCGGAGAAGTCGGTCGGCAGTCCGATGGCCTAATTAATTCGTTCATTCGTTAATTAGTTAGAAGTCCGTCGGCAGTCCGATGGCCTGCGGCGGAGAAGTCGGCGAGGGGTGGGGAGGAGGCGGCGAGAGGGTGGGGGGGCGGCGGCGAGAGGCGGGGGTGGCGGCGATCGCGGTGAGAGGCATCGCTCCGCATGGGGATGGCGCTGTGCGTGCGGGTCGCGGGTGTGCGGGTGTGCGGGTGTGCGGGTGTGCGGGTGTGCGGGTGTGCGGTGTGCGGTGGCCTCGTCAAACGAGTTTGTGTGCAGCGACTGCGTGCCGCCCATCACCGCGGCCATCGCCTCGACCGTGGTGCGGATCACGTTGTTGTACGGCTCCTGCGCAGTGAGCGACCAGCCGCTCGTCTGGCAGTGCGTGCGCAGCAGGAGTGACTTCTCCTTCTTGGGGTCGAAGTGCTGCTTCATCAGCTCCGCCCACAGCCGCCGCGCCGCCCGCAGCTTGGCAACCTCCATGTAAAAGTTCATCGAGATGCCCCAGAAAAAGGAGATGCGCGGCGCGATGTCGTCGACGCCGACGACGCCCGTCGCCTCGGCCGCACGCACGTACTCGAGCCCGTCCGCCTGCGCACCGGGCCGGCGGCGTGAGAGTGCTGCTGCTGCGGCGGCGGCGGCGGCCGTAGCGCGCGCGCGTTTGTGCGGGTCTGTGTGCGTGCGGGTCCTGTGTGTGTGTGGGGGGGGGGGGGTTCTGTGTGTGTGTGTGGGTCTGGTGTGTGTGTGGGTCTGGGGTGTGTGTGTGTGTGTGTGTGTGTGTGTGTGTGTGTGTGTGTGTGTGTGTGTGTGTGTGTGTGTGTGTGTGTGTGTGTGTGTGGGTGTGTGTGTGTGTGTGTGTGTGTCTGTGTGCGCGTCTGTGTGTGTGCCGGTCTGTGTGCGTGCGGCCCCTGTGAGTTTGCGGGGGTCTGAGGGGCG